CCGACGTGCGCGAAGGCCGACAAGCGTAGGGCGAGGACCCGTCCATCGCCGCTTGCGGCTTTAATTATCTATTGTTTTTCTAAGAACACAAAGTGATGGACTGTTCAGCTGCATGTGTGCCTTACCTACACAGTTTCCAGTGAGTTTGAGCAGCGGTTCACTGAGTGACCCCCTACATCTCAGAGACAAATACTCAACAGAGACAGTGTTCACCACAGCAGGAGAATAAGTGACTGTAGCTCGTAGTGATCCACCGGGTTCCACCGAACCCCTGGTCACATCACAGCTGTACTCTGATCCAAACAAGGGTTCGCCACCAGACAGTCGGGACAGAGAAAAAGACACAGATACCTGCAGGAGAGAGCAAACAGAGAGATGAGAGAGAGCGACCACTGGTGTGAGCGTTTGCGATTGTGGATCTGTGTGAACTACCCACAGGAGAGGGGTTGAAGATGTCAAAGTGTTTCCGCAAACACTGGCCAACGACCACAGAACCAAACCGCAGCACTGGATCGCCGTGTTCTTCTTCCTTCTTGTTACTGAGGTTTTTCAGCTGAAGACATGGGTATTTGGCTGAAAAAGAAAACACGGGAAAGAGTCTAAGACACTATTACCCCTCATCTCCTTTCACACAGTGTAGCAACATTAACTGAACACTCCATTGCAATGTGGCTCAATCAGTAACACAGACCTACACTGTCTAAAGATAAAGATAAAGCTGCAAATAAAACAAATATGTGACATCTTTGTTCACATTTTCACACAATCAGAACTGAGAACAGCTCGCTAAGATGAACGGTTCAAGTGCTTTGCTTGAAAAACCAATAAGGCAGTGTTTGACAATGTAGATTTATTTTTTTTAGGCCTAATTATTATCTCAGCTGGGATAGGCTCCAGCCCCCTGCGACCCTAGTGAGGATTAAGTGGTGTATAGATAATGGATGGATGGTACCTAACGCCTGCAGAAGCACAGTGCAGCAGCTTTCAGTCTTGTCCCCTTTTTCTCCAAACCAGCAGTAAGCCTGCTGCTGGTACACCAGCGCCTCTAGTGGCCGGAAGACCACTGTGATGTGACACTTCTGTCCGGGTTTCAGCACGCCTTGCTCTGGGCTCAGCTGGAACGGTGCTGCACACTCCCATTGGAAGCGTGTCTGGAGTTTACTGTACAAAGAAAATGGAGAGGACATCATTAAAGTATGAAGCAAAAGAGCAACCTTTAACTTCAACACTCCCCATGCAAATACACACACAGGCTCCACATAGGCAGGGACACATACAAACACAATGACACTCATATGTACCTGACGTTTTTTAGCAGGAACTCAGAGTGTGACGAGTGTTGAACAGCACAGAGTGGGAGCATCACAGAGTCGGGCACCTCCAGGACGTGGCAGGGAACGATGGCACGGAGGCTAACTTGGAAGCTGCCCTCTTTACTCTGAAACTCAATGCTGTCCTCACACTCACCCTGCATCAGGCAGCAAGAAGACACAAAGCAGGAGATGTGGGTCATTTCACATTTATATAGATAATCACTGCTTTTCTTTTTCAAGCCATGTGTATCTGGACAAGTTTTCCTTATGGTGAGTGTGTCTTCTTCACTCAACTGGCTCTATGTGTGTGATCATAACAGATATTGGGTCACTGATATACACATTCTCATGGTTTCTTTTTGTGATGTTCTCATCTGTTCACCACCTGTGGTCTTAGGACTTACCGTATGCTGTTGCTCATTCACACTGTAAATGTTAGTGAGGATTTACTAAACATTTTAGTCAATTACTTTCATCATTTATCTCCTTTCTGTGCACCACTTTATTAAGGCTATAACGCTTGACCAGATCTTGTATTTATTCTGTTTTTCAGATTGTAATTGTTTGCTGGTTGTGCTATTCACTATGGAAACCATCTGAACTGCTGTAGTTTCAGTAAATGTGTTTCCTTACAGTCCAAAGCCCCGGTGAACACTGTTTCTGAAACACCAGCAAGATCAAGTGCTGTTCTGTTCAGCGTCGGGATGTCTTACCCTTTGGACGGGTCTAAAAGTGACTGGTACTGAGAAAGAAGTCCCAGGGCTGAGAACTATCATCGGAGGTATCAGCGTAGAAAAGGACTGGGATGCTGGAGGTCTGTGAGGGGACAAGGATGGGATAAGTTACCCTGAGGATCAAACTTACTCTGCACGGCTTGAGACTGTGTTTGTGAGTTTGTACGACCTCATGTGAAGCCTTTGCAGCTTGTTATGAATGCTCTTTAACACTAAAGTCTTGGTGAACTCTCCTCCCAGGTCCCAGTCCTCCCAGATGAGCTCCGGCCTGGTTTCCAATCCCAAGAAGCAGCTTCTTTGGCTGGATGCCTGCCGTCGGTGCTTCCTACCACGTGGCCTCTGGTGGATCCCTGGATCCTGCCGGGTAGGATGTTACACAGGATGTGGGTTTGGGGAAAAGACACTGATAAATGGTATCAATGAACTTGTTTTTTTTTTTTTTTTTAATTAAATTTTTATTTCATTCATTGAGTTAAAACAAAACAATTAGACATGACACAAACATTTATGACTCCTGAATGAAAGGCAGCAGAAAGAAGAATAATCTGATGCTATCTCCCTCCTTTACCCAAAGAAATACATTTACAAAAAACTTAAGTTACAAAAAGCATCAACAACACAATAAACATCAGAATATTCACGACAAAAACAATAATGACATGAAACAGCTCCTTCAAAGCCGACAGTCACGTTTTACTTTATCTTTTCTCTTAATAAAAAAACAGAAAATGTGACATGATTATTTACTCGTCTTTACAATCAGACATAATTAACAGATCTCCTCAATGTACCGGCTTTAATTGTTCTTTCAAATGTAAATATTGATTTTGATTTTAAACTGATTCCTTTCACAGAAACACAACGCTCCGTCACTTTGGTTCTGAATCTGGGTTGTTTTTCTAATTTAATGTTGACAGTGGTGTTTAAACAGTCACACAGAGCTATTTCATAAAGGCTAAGTCATCTGGAGGAACTTCTTCTGTTATTCTGACTTGACGTTTAAGCTCAGAGTGACCCGTACGATTCAGAAACCATCCTGTTTTGTACACAGATGAATCAGAACAACTCATAATGAACAGGACGTAGCACACGCCGGCTCATTTTAACAACTCATTCTGTCTAAAACTGATGAATGAAGATAAGGAAGAAGAGGCAAAGACAGCTTTATGAGAGGTGGCACACCTTATGGACTGTTTTTCTTCAGATTTAAACAGAAACTGAACACAAAGCTTTACTGTAGATGGAATCAGAAAGAGAAAGAGGCTCTGAGGTGATGAATGAAACAGGTGTGATCAGGACTTTACTTGGAGATCCCTTCCAGCGGTGGAGGACTTCCATGGAGCTCCTGACACCAGAGCTTCTGGACCCTGAGCTTCAGCTAACATGACTGGAAGAAAAAGAAAAAGGGAAAAAAGGTGTTTAGATTTCTACAAAGAATAAAATAAGGAGGATATTTAAAACCAAGCTGAAAGAGCGTTTTGGAACTAACGTTATTAAGTTAGCTTGTAGCATGGCTAACACCGGAAGTAGAAACATAACATTCATGTTATATAAAAAAAAAAAAAAGGTTCGTCTTACACACACACACAGAAACAACCTTACCTACAAACGCTGACAAACTGGTGGTTTTTAATCCACTGGAACGAAGACAACACCGCTAACAACAACAACAACAACAGCAGCCTCAAGTTTGGCAGCCACGGCGTCTCCATAGCAACACATAACTACAGACTTTACGGCAGCCGATGAGGGACAATTGCAAATATTAACTGGTAGTGTTTTCAATTAGTTTCCAAGTTTTTAGGGGCTTATTTGATGTCCTACGATGAAAATACTGTCTGTGGATCGATGCCAGTCCCGACATAGTCCCTGTTCAACCGACACGTAATGACTTCATCTCTTTAAATGTGAATCGCGTTTTTCAACACATTGAACTCAGCACGCAGGTATGAATTGAACTTTATTATTTTTTACACTATTCGTCTCCACAAAAATCACTAATGTTGCATTTAAAGTGAAATATATTAAATTCTATAAATGTTAAATTATATTGACAACATTTTACAAAATACAAGGAAGATGCCACGTTAACAGCACATTTCACATCCTGTACAGTACATGCAGACATTCCTCTGTGTGTGGGGCTCTAACTAAATATAACATGCAGTTTCAAGAAGATAAGACAAAGTATTAAATATTATACAAAAAAAATCGTATTGTCTAAAAAGTACTGCAGCATCAACAGCAGCAAAGCTTTTATTTATCGTTGCTGCACCGTTAAAATGTCCTGAAACGTAAACTGAATGTGAAACCGAGTCTTTCTTAAAAACGTTCCTATTTCAATAGTTGTCCAGCTTTTTGTAACAGATCAGAACAGCATGGATAAACATGTAACGCTGACGCTCTGTGCATCAGTCTCAAGTTATTTTTCCATGGAAGTGCTATTACCAACCATTCAGACAGTCAAAGTACATTTATAAATAAATTATTCTATCGCCAATGACAAGACAGGGACACAAGTAACACATATTATAAGCCAGAATTATTTGTTGATTTTGAAGTTTTAACTCATTAACTCAACCATTAAACGTCCCAGTGGATAAAGATGGGATGTCCTGGTTTAATGTAACAATCAATCACAGTTCCTTTCTGCTGATCTGGGAGCTCCAGGTAGAGACATGGGACTGAGACTTGGGCTGTGAAAAAGGAAAAGTTTCTTGTCATGCCACCAAGTCACTTCAACAGCAATAAACCTACATACAATAAAAGCATGCTCCAGTTTATAGCTGTGGGAAAACCCCACTCCGTGCTCCTCGGTCTGCCTCCTCTATCTCCTCCTCCGAGTAAGAGCTGTAGTTCCCTGTTCCTCTTCCTGCACGCCGTGAGAAGCTGACGCCACCGAAGGAACCTTCCCTCAGCACCTCTATCTCCTCGCTTTCGTCCTCGTCCTCCCCTTCTACCTCCTCGTCGTCCTCCAGGCTCGACCTGTGAGAGTCGCCGTGAGGCTTGATGCTCTGCAGGTCCAGCCCAGTTCTTTCTGTGCCGCTCTGGGAGGTTGGGCTTACTTGTTCCTTGGCTTTGCGACTTCTCTTCCACTTCATACGTCTGTTCTGGAACCAGATCTTCACCTGAAAATAACAGGAATCATGACAGTGTGAAAATATGAAGTGATGTGGGGACTAGAAGTGGTCTCTTGTTGTGGGAAGAGACACGATGACTCTTTTAATTAGGAATGGCTGTAAGCTGGATTAGACAGAGACCCTGAGAGGTCATCTAAGTCTAACTCTGCTGAAGCTTTGTGTCAATCAAATACATTTCAATTAAAGCTTTTATTTATTTATTTGTTTATTTTAACAAACCCATTTAACTGTGTTTGTGGTGCTTAAACTCAAACCAGTGAAAACGTACATTTTAATGTCAGTTGTGTTGTGTTAGTTGAATGTATGTTAATGTGTATTCTGACCTGCGTCTCTGTCAGCATGAGAGAAGTGGCCACCTCGAAGCGTTTGGGCCGGGACAGGTACTTGTTGAGCTTAAACTGGTTTTCCAGTTCCAGCAGCTGCTGACTGGTGAACGCTGTCCTGGGCCTCCGACACTTCCCCAACAAACCCGCCTGAGCTGGTACTGAGAGAGAGAAGCACAGACAGTTATTACAGTACTGATAGCTTCTGTTTCTGCATGTGCACGTGTCACTCTCATTCTGACTCGTGGGTGTAAAAGTAAACATAGAAAGATGTTCATTAAAATAAATACAGACAAATGACAAAATCTTTGAGTTTGGTTTCGGTGTCATTGTTTGGCTGCCACAGGCCGACCTGGCCATACATCAGAACGTCTCTCTGTCCGGTAACATTTACAGCCATGATGGGACGTTGTGGTGAAGGGATGGCTCTGAAGGTGCAATAAACCATCACAGAGATCCATTACCTTAATGAAAACACTATAAATGTTATCAATTGATTGAGTGGCAGGTCAGTTTCAGGTGTTTCCTTCACTGTAAATGCTGTGTGTTACTTTTATGGGATAAATTGTCCTTAAGTGACAGCGTCTCAATGTCACGCTCCGTTCCAAGCCAGAAGGTTTCATGTTTTCTGGAGACTTTAACAAATGCATTGATCAGTTGTTGGACTATCTCATTACATATTATAGAAAAAAATTAAAGATAAAGATAAAAAGACTGATAAACTAGAGCAAAAAATGCACAATCCTTTATAGTCCTGCTCAAAAGAGCCAAATGTGGGACCTACAAGAACCAGGTAATATCAGAAGAAGGAAAATGCAATACTGCTTTAGAATAAGACATGATTTAATTACATTTTAGAAAATATATTAAGAAAAATCATATAATATATTATTATGGTTAAATACTATTACTAAACTTTAAAAAATAAAATAAAGCAAAAAAAATAAATAAACGATGACCTTAAAGCACCCCTTTTTTTTTAGTCTTGTAAAAACTCAGTGGTGCATAAACATCTAACACGTTGGCTGCTTAACCTGAACTATAGGATTTAAGAATGAGGACGTTTATAGAAACACTCACCAGCATACTCTCCCAGTCTGGGCATCATCACCCCGGCTCTGATCCAGGGCTCCAGGGGCAGTGCTCCGGCCATGGTGGCCCCCTTCATCTGCTCCGGGTACGGCTGGACCAGCTGCGTGAAGCCGGGATACATGAAGGCGGGGTTGTGGCCTCCGAGGGCCGCCAGAGGATACACGGAGCCCGGGTGCATTCCGATGAGCCCCACTTGATGCAGCGCACTGAAGCCTGACTGGGACAGGTTGAGCAGATGGGACTTGGACAGGGCTCCCGGCGGGGCTGGAGAGGAGTTGGTGGTGTTGGGATGAGGGGAGGGCGTCTCCGAGCCGCGGGTCGACACTGGACTGCCGTCGGGACTCCTGCTGTAGTAGAGCCTGGGGGACGCGCCGCCGCTGTCCGTCCGCTGCTCCGCGTCGTGCGCCAGCAGCGCGTCGATGCGAAAGTTTTTGGATTTCTCCATGGTGGCAGTCATTCTGTCCCAGGATGTGTCCAGTGATCAGCTCGTGTTAGTGAGTGTGAAACCGCACCAATGTTGTTGTAAAACGTTCTCAAAATGTCACCCTGAACTTCTCCTGATGAACTTCAAACTGGCCTCGAAAGTCTGGATTCAGGCTGATCGCTCTTAGACTTTACGCAGAGGTCTCTGTTGTCATTCCTCCTTGCGACGGAAATAGTGTCTTCTGACTGATCCACTCCACTTTAACCCTGTGCGTAAAAACCACTTCACCCACTCCAACAGTGAGTGGAAAAACCACTGGCACCCAGCAGCACAATAAAGTGAGCTCAGCTGTGATTGGCCAGAGCCCTGCAGCTCAGGGGCAGGATCCTCAGAGTCTTCTGGGGTTAACTGGACACCTCTGTAAACCTGCTCATATGACATTATCATAGAATAAAGTACTAGACCAGAGGTTTATGTCTGAGTGTTAAACACAATAGAAGTCTAGAAACACAGAGAAAACCCTCCTGTACATTCTGAAAACCACTTTCAAATCTAAAAACTATAGAAGTTGACTGTTTTCATTTTTAAAACAACATTTCCATTCTCACAAAACATAGATTCCTGTTTGTCTTATAGCGGCCACTTTCTTTCTGTCTTTCTTTATCTGTCCACGTCTGTTCCTTATCTGTCGCCGTTAATTTGATCCCTGGTTCAGGTGAGGTTCAGGTGCATGTTTCTCACAGCCCGTCTTACACCCACTCGTTTTATTGCACATCCAGCCGCTGAGACACACAAACGCTCTCGAAAACTATACTGCCCTAATTACTCTCATCTCACTTAGAGTGAAGGTGAGATTAATCATTTCACAGCTAACTCTTCATTAAATTTTATTGCCCGCTAAGGTTGACAGAAACCCGACTTATCTTATCGCTGGTTGCTGCTATGATTAGCGGTCATCACCACACCACGGAGCTGATAAGGAGGCAGTAAACCAACAGAAAGCAAACTTGTTTTCTCTTCCTGCAGACCAGAGCATGGACAGCTGACACGGAGCACATCGTAGCTGTCTGCTGTTTATTCTGCACAATCAGACTTTACGTTTAGGTTCCTATAGCTCATAATGTTGATCTGTGCCTCTTACACTGGTTGCAGGTCTATAGTTTATTTAGTCCTTAAAGCAAAGCATTCATCTACATCCAGCTGTGAAGGAGATCTTTACCGACTCCCCCAGACAACATAACTCAATTAAGGCTTCAGGTAGAGCAATTAAGTTTCACTCAAAGGGCACAAAGTATGTCTTCGTGGTCTTCTGCTGCAGTTACCAGTGGTGATTTCCTGCTGGATTATACAGAACTGATAAGAGACAGTCATAGACCTGGGAAAACAAACTGCCCCCATGTCAAAGACAAACACACCAACACCTGCTGAACCGCCCCACCTAACCTTCACATTCATGGGCCGATGTGTTTAAAGCTAAAAGCCTAAGTCCTGGCATGTAGGTGTGTGTGTGTGTGAGCATCAAAGCCTATTCAGTGAAGGACATGTTTTTCTTCGATAGCTGGGTTCAGTTAAGTTTTTTAGCTCAGAGATGTTTGAACTTGACTCTCACGCCGACTCCATGTCCACAGGCTCTGATGTTCTGTGTTTAATAGAGACTGATTCATATGAATGATCAATACTGAGAGTCACATAAACCCACTCAGGTCTGCTCATTGTCACCACAAAGCAAACGAGAAACATGAGAGACTTTAAATCTGCATGTTTCTGGTTTGTCCTTCTGCTGATGATACTTCAAAGTTCTGAAAGTTATGTTTGAGTCCTCAAAGCAACTCACATGTCGTCTCTTTAGCATAAGAAGGTGATCTTCAGCAAGTCCGTCTCTGATTATTACAAAATAAATGGTTGACGTGTTAGGAAATATCAAACTATATACAGAATTGAACTGAGGTTGTAAAGTAATTATTAATCTCTTTGTGTTAGACAGGAGAGAGAAGGGATTTATCTCACTGTTTAATGAAGCCGTTAAAACACATCTTTATGTCCGAGCACAGACATCGACTGAGATAAGGTTCTGTAGATATACGGGACGCAGCATTCGACACTTAACACCAACACCAGATGTTATATTTGGTATTATAATGGAATTGTGATTTATGGTCATTAGATTGCCATGTTAATAACCCTTAACAAAAGCCTGTTTGTCTTGACATAATCCATGTGCGTAGCTTTTATCTTTCCACACACAGATAGCGGTCATAACTCCATACTTTGTACTAAGTAATACACGGATCAGGTCTATTAGTCCGAGCCCTCCGTATCTGTTTCTGATTAAAACAGAACCAGTGTTCCTCAAGTGCATTCCCTCGTCTTCAGCAGCATTTATTAAACCCGAGCGCAGAACTCAGGTCTGTTCAGTTCAAGTGTTCCAGACTCTTAAAAGCATGTTTTACATTTATGGCAATTACACAAGTAGAGAAACTGAGAAAAAAACAGATTAAAGCACTGAATGTGCTCGCTGATGGAAAGGTTGTGGTGAACACATCATGCTGCCTTCTGCTTTGGATGATCACACAGTTCAAGAGGAAACGTAGAATCCATGATGTCAGTCGTTTGTTGTTCCTGTACGAGAAATTAAACTTTTCAGACAGACGTGTGTGACTCAGTCCATTTCCCGTTAAGAGTGTGCTGACATTCATACAGTAACCTGACGGCATTTTAAAAATTTATTTGCAAATCAGTGTATTTTATTAGTTCTCCCCGTGCAGCGTGGGTTCTCTCCGGGTTCTCCGGCTTCCTCCCACAGTCCAGAAACATGCTGAGGTTAATTGGTGATTGTAAATTGTCCGTAGGTGTGAATGTGAGTGTGCTTGGTTGTCTGTCTCTAAGTGTAGCCCTGTGATAGACTGGTTACCTGTCCAGGTGAACCTGCCTTCACCCTGAGTCGGCTGGGATAGGCTCCGCCCCCCCATGACCCTGGTGAGGATGAAGGTGTAGAGATGATGTATTTTATTTTGTGATATAAACGTGGCTCAAACAAAATCACACAAAAAACATCAAATGTGAAAGAATCAAATAGCCGAGCTGCTGGCTCACAGCTGATAATAGAAGATCTAATTATTATATATATATATATATAATCATTCTTTTTCTAGAAATGTTTGAGTCTTAATGAATAGAGACTTGTGGCCTATTTTGACCGACTCTAATGAAGATTGATGGTTTTGTTGCGGCCACTGAATGTAAACTGAATCATCAGAAAACTGGGCTGTCGTGTTTCCTCCTGTTGACGTTTGACATTGGTGGCATTTATTGATGAGCTGGAAATATTTTCTACAGACATGAAAGCACACACACACACACACACACACACACACACACACACACACACACACAATGAAGACAGACAAGAGCGAGCCAGAGAACAAGAAGGACTGGCCGGCCCGTTGCTCTTCTCTCCCTCAGCTGTAAAAGAACCATTCACGCTGCCTCTGCTCTCTCACAGATGTAAATGAGGTTAACCCAGTGGGCGACTCTGTCAGACCTTTATGGTGAAGTGGAGAAAATAAGGGTTACAGCATTCTGGCCATGCAAAATGAAGGCTGATTTAATCTCACTTTTTTAGGTCAAGAACTTCCCCTATGAATAAATCCATTGCAGTAGTAATATAACAATAAAACTGAGGTGCTTCAGATGATTATTTTAACTTCCCGTTAAAGATGACATCAATAAGAAACTTAAAAAGAACTGATAATAACTTTATTATCATACAACCTTAATTTTGGCAACACAAACAATCCAGTGTTTGCACAAGCTGGCGTGACATTACACAGGACGAGCTTTGTGTTGTGAAACAGGGAAACCAGCCTGTTGTCGGTAAACTAAACTAATTACTGCAAGATAGAGCCTGAGATTCCTTTTGCAACTGTTCGGGCACTTTGCTGATTGTTTTTGCAGTTTAGCTAAATAAGCACATCCTGTAAAACTGTGCTGCTGATGTTCTGCTGATATGATGTTAGTTATGGTTGATTTTAGTGTTTTAACAACAGTTTTTAACAACGCAGTTCATATCCTGGTTTATGCAGATGAAGTTTGCTGCTGCGTGGAATCATCCTGTGTGAGAGGACGTTCTTTAACTTGAGTGTTTGTCACATAAGTTTATTTTTAAAGCAGTTTCACTTTACTAGCAGGGAGTAGCACACACATGTTAGTCTGGGCTGTATCAAAAGATTGCACACGATAGTAAAGAGTCCACTGATCTTCTCTGGCAGATTTACTTGTCCAACACAAATTAAGAGGGCTGGTGTGTTATTAAAGTAAAATATGAGGATGTATCCCAGGAGGCCACGAGGAAAATCCCCCCAAACTCCCAACAGATAGAGTATAATAAAGCCTGTTGTTCCCCTGCTGTCTGTGTCCTATTGTGCTATCTTGTCTAATATCTGCTTTTTGGTTTCCATTGTGTCTATTGTCGTAGCCCGGTTTGGCTCTGATTGGCCTAATGGACCGCGGGGGAATACAACACTTCCTGGTTGAGCAGGGGTGGGTGTTCAGGGTGGCAAGGTTCAACGTCGTTCAAAACGGCTTGATTAATGGCAGCCTTCACAACCGAGACCAGGAGATAATGAGGAGGACAAGAGGGAGGGCCGGAGGAGGAGAAGAGGAGGGAGAGGAGGGGAGGAGGGAGGAGCAGAGATCGGATGATTATTACCGAGCACAGTAAACAGCAACAAGAGGAGGATCGGAGACAGAAGCCGAGGAGGCGCACAGCTAATTAGTCCTAAACGGAGGTCCGTGAATGAGAGGAGGGGACGGACACACGTAGAGCTGGTTAACGCACAAAGACGGGGCAGCGGCGGGGCAACAGAGGGTTCCTGCTCAGGGCAGTTACACATCTGTTGCTCTGTGGGACACCCAGACTCTCTGCAGGCCGAGGTTCCCCAAACACCGATCACCCACATCACGTTCCTTAACACAACAGCATGAAGGCTGGACAAACTAGTAGAAAACCTGATAAAAGAAAC